AAAAATAAGCAGAACAACCTAACTGACTTTCTAATGTTCTGCATTCAAAGATTCAAAGTTAAAAGGGATACGTGACAAAAATTAAATAGTATGCAAATTAGTGTAATAAATCACAAATTTTTCCTCTAAAAACAAATTGTTTCTTTGAGGGAATTTTTCAAACAACAGATGGGTGCAAGTCCGATATAGTCAAGCCTTCACATAAACTGTATTCATATAAAAAATAATGAAAGTTACACAAACTCAAATATTTAAATGGAAAAATCACTTCAAAAAAAGATACAAATAAAAAGAAGTTGCAAAAGCACAAGGTAATCCTATACGAGGAAACATAAATGAATTAAGAAGGGCAATAATTACCAGAGTCCAAGAGATAGGTTGTCGCAGAGCTATACTGCAAGAAGGGGCCAAAGAACAAACCAACAAAAACGACGAGGGAACTCTCTTCTTTCTATATTTCCTACCAAGTGTTCTAGTGGACTCAAGATTTATTTCCTGTGACCGACCAACGTCTATGCCACTCCTGACGTAGTAGGTTTTTTTGTTTAGACAGAGCCCCCCAACTAGGGGTGGATTTGAGCCGAACCGAGGCAAATATTTGAGTATTCGAGCTCAGCTCGGTATAACATTACAAGGCTCAAGCTTGATTCAAACTGGAAATACAGACTCGAGTTCAGCTCGAATGAAAAAACTATATATTCGAGCACGATTCGGCTCGAGCTCGATAATAAACCAAGCCTGCTCGAGCTTTAATGAATCTGTAGAAGATGGAGGATACGTAATTTCTCCAATGAACCAAGGGAAACAATCTGTTGTAAGCACAAGCTTGCCATTGACTGGAGGTTCTGGAAGTGTTATATACGCACATCATTTGCAAGGTCAATAACCATCTGAATGCTTAGGAGACTAGAGTTGTTGGTACTGTTCTTGTTCTTCTTTATTAATGAAGCACAGTTCCACTTTTCATTCTCCCTAGCCTCTGGGTTTTTGGCTCATGAAGTTTCAGGGCATTACTTGAGTTGCATCATGATTTTTGTGCCTGCAACACTGAGGGAATTCTTCAAAGCCAAAGTAGGAAATTACCCCTCCACAGAGTTCTCATCAGGAGAGTTGACACAATGTATAGGATTGCCTCATAATGAAAAAGAGGATCTCAAGGTTGAAGTCCAGACATCATCAGAGAATATTATGACCAAGGAAGTTGATTTGATGAAAGAAGAGGTGGAAAAAGAATCTTCAAAATCTGCAAGTCTTCTGGTACTTAATGATATGTCTGATGATTTCTTTGATGCTCTAGAACCATCAGAGGATGGATGGTCTTCTAATATGAATCCAGAAATGCATCCTCAGGTACATTTCAGAGAACTTTGATGTTTTACTTGTTTTTCAAAGAGGCAAATCTTTTGCTTTCTCAGAAGCATAGATCCTGAACTAGTGCTTGACCTTTCAATCTGTCTTTATATTTAAATCAGTCCAAGCCAATAATATCCTCTAGTTCTATTAAGTGGAAATGAAATTTAAGTCACCACAATTTGACTTCTTGCTCTTTTTTTTTTAATACTTTGGGTGAGGGGATTGTTGATGTACTTCCTTATAGGGTTTGGGTTGGAAATGAGTTCTATTGGTTTGGAACTTGACCCATTGACAGGTAGCTCTAGTTGTACTGTACATTCTCTCTTCACCTCTTTTTTTTTCTCCTTTCTTTTGATAGGCAATGCTTTCTCTTTGTTCAGCTGTCTATAAATCTTTAATAAGTCGCTTTCTAGGAGCTAAATGAGAAAATTCTAATGGAGCTCTTGTCAATGTTCAGGTATCTGTCTCCATCTCTCACAGTGACTTTTTTTTCTTCAACTCTAATATCTTCACCAATGTTCGATCACAATATCATACAACATAACATTTTTCCATTCTGGAGAAGGGTGGAGCCTTGATCGATTCTATCTGAAAGGACTTTTTTGGGGGGCATTTGTCCCATCTAGTGTTTCCGGAACTCTTAAGTCCGGAAATAAAAAATTTGAACAACAATATATTCACTTGCTTGTTGTCGAATTTGTGCAGCAATAAAAAATTAAAAAATATCCCTAATTTTATAAATTGTAATAATGCTTCAAAGTTCAAATCAATTTATCCTGATTGCCTAAGAGAATTCTCCACAAGCAACATAGAATCAAATCAGCATATAATGAAATTTTTTACTTTAGTAATAGCATCAAAACAAATACTACAAGTTAGCATGTAATGAAATTTTTTACAAATACTGCAAGTTAACATGGACGGTGTGGTGGTCTTTGTGGTTCTGGGATTGATTGTTACCTTTGAATGTTGAACAGCTGGTTACAGAGTAGTTGATGGGAGATTGGGAGCCAACCAATCCTTCCAACTTCGAATTCTCAGAGCTGTAGAAAGGACAAAGAAAAACCCAAAATCAAGAAGAAGAAGAATCTAAGAGACTGAGACTGTGAGGTAACAATACCATCGGGCGTCGACTCGATTGAGTCTGAGAGTGAGAAAGCTTGAGGGTGAGGTAGGGTCGCAGGCCGCACCTCGCAGTCTTGCAGAGTTGCAGCTGCATTCGCTAGGAGAGGGAGGGTTGAAACTAAAAGGGTTTTGGCTTGTTCGATTGATTTTTTTTCCCTCTCTTTGATTTCTTATTTCGTAATTTCTTTTAGAATGTGAATGGGGCCACCATACACAGAGGCTCGACTAGGCTCGCAAGCTTAACGAGCCGGGCCGTATCTTATTCAAACCGAGCTCGAATTCGGTTTGAAGTTCAACTTGGTCTGAGTCGACTCGAGTTCGAATAACTCGTAAAAAGTTTGGCTCATTTCCACCCCTACCCYTAACGATGTTATTGCGTCGTTAACATTTTAAAAACTAAGCCGGAGGTCGACTCTTTGCGAATGTCATGGTTTTGAAAACCGGATCGAACAATCTGACCGGTTGACTAGGAACAATCAGATTATTGGTTCCGTTTCACCCTAAAACTACTTTTTGGCCAAAAACCATTGATTTTGATCAGTGACCTACTGACCCGACCAATTAGATTGACTCGGACAATGGTTTTTGACCATTTTTATTTTATTTATTTTTTAAGTCAGAACAGGTTGTCCATTCGAACCAAATGGTTGAACCGTTCAACCTAGGAATGGTCCCAATAACAATTCTGTCTAGTCTAGTTTTTAAAACCTTGGCCAATGTTTTAAAAACCGAACTGGAGGTTGACTCCTTTTCATACAAATCGGCAAATTTTAAAAATCGCCAACCCCCACCCCTACAACAACTAGGGGTCAGATCCAAATAGATTTGGAACCGGCCAATAAGAAACGATAAAGACCCATAATTGAACCAGACCTGAAAGGGTCTGTAATTTTAGACCCATAATTGAATCAATCGGTTTTTAGGACAATCCATTGTTAGACATGATCCGGTCACTTCTCACACGCTCTGAATTACCCACATCCTTTTGGGGATATGCATTAGAGACTGTAATCTACATGCTGAATTGGGTTCCAACCAAATCGGTTCCGGAAACTCCATACGAACTTTGGACCGAAAAGAAACCAAGTGTCAGACACTTGAAGATTTGGATTAAAAGTTTTCATACATGTACAATAGTTACACGTGAGTGGGGGCAAATATGTCTTTACGCTTGAAATTAGAGCTATCTTCAATGCAATGCTGCCCTAATCTTCGTTCCTTTCTCAGTCCCCACTGTCGCATGTAGCTGACTCTGAGACAGTCAAACTGAAGAGAACACCTTTCGGCACCTTCGTCACCGGTGGACGGCAGACCGCTTCTTCATTTTACAGCGACAGGTATTTCTTCTTGGTCTTTTTCTTTTCTATTCAAATCTTGGCAATTGGTAATTGCCTAATGCCCTGCAACCTGCCCTGGTCTTTTTCTTTTCTATTCAAATCTTGGCAATTAGTCTTTTTCTTTTCTATTCATTTTACAGCGACAGGTCGATCTCACCTACATCTTCCATTCAATCCCTAATGCCCTGCAACCTGCCCTGGTAATTGGTCAAGCATTCAATTGTGACCCAAACCTTAGTCTTAAACTATTCTAACAATGTTTAAAACTAWCCTGAAATGCCTAAGCAAAAATCTTGGCAGAAAAAATCCATATTGATGACATAAAACAATTGCTAGAAACAAAAGACATATCATTTTTTATCAGCAACAGAAACTTTATTAATTAAGTGAAGACTGAAGAGTTACAGCTTTTAGTAGCCTCAGCTACCCCCTTACATACTTAATACAGAAACATTCAACAACAGAAAACTTTAGGTTATTTTACGATTCAGCCCAGAAACAATGCTCTCTGTAAACCCCTTGACAAGCTCCTAAAGTTTTTAAGTTCATTCCTGAAGCACCAAGGAATCTTCTCATTTCATAAATTTATCTGAGCGGAAGCTTTGTCGGGTGAATAATTTGATGCCAAACAGCATAGTTCTCAAAATCTTACAACTTACGATATGATTTTGAATCTGACGTTTGGATCCTTGTCTACAAAAATCTTACAATTTGTATAATTCATGCAATTTGAATCAATTCAATTACGAATTAGTTCTCTACTTTTGGCATTTCTTTTTTTTTTCTTTCAATTTTGTCAGGGGAGACTTGTTCTAAAACCCATACTAGAAAATGATTTATTTGGGTTATTTAAGACCTTATAGAAACCATATTGAGTTTATTGCCCATCACATGTAGGTGAAACAGCCATTATGTGGATTATTTGACTTATCATCTTAGGCTTCTAGTTACCAGGTCAGAGGTTACTCCAAAACCAGTCTGAAACTACCTGGAACCATCTGTTTGATGAGAGGTTCATCATAATGCCTATGAAGTAATTAAAATATTAAAGGGGAAAACAGTTAAAATACAAAGAAGAGACTTGCTAAGCCTAGACTCGACACCTATAAGCAATTGCCCAGTTCCCTACCAATCCCTTAAAAAAAACAAAATAAAAAATAATCAGTTCCCTTCCATTATATTAACCTGCTCGGATGCTCTCCTGGTCAGGTCCCGTGCTAGTACAGCCCCACAAAAATGGTTCTGACTTCAGAGTTCAGAATACTCAATCTGCTGCAAAAATTCTGCAGACTACAACATCAGATATTAATAAACTCAGAGAGGCCCGAAAATATGAATGTTATATATTAAATGTCCCTCCACAATTATATAGATTGAAATTGATTCAGCAGGCATAAACATAATGTCAGAAACCTCCAATTCTTTTGTAAAGCTCAGTTTCAGCCCCCGCGCTTTTCAGGATAGGATGTTATTTCTAGGCCACTCCCTCGAGTTATTGGAAGTTGAAATTGCCCAAAAAAAATATCGGAAATTGAGATATCAGAGAAGTGCAACCTATGAAGATAAACTGAAATGCAATCAGTGCATGTCCTCCTATCAAGATTCGAAATCATGTAACTTCACGAAATATGTAGCCTAAGAAACCATGCCTACAGTAAATGAAGAAAGTGGTGGAATTGGGGAATAAAATTCGAACTCAAACCTGTTCGACTACATTAAGCATGGTAAGCTTATCGAAAGCGAGAACGAGAGCATAAGCGCCGGCAGTAACGAGCATGGTGGCACCGGCGTCCTGCAAAAGTGCGCCATGGTCGACATGGAAATGGAACAGCGCGCGCGGGGCCCTGAAAAACGAGGATGAGGAGGCGGTGAGGTCTGTAGCCCAACAACCACCTCGCTTCACACGAAGAAAAGCAGGCTCAAGTAGTGGAATCCCGGCGCGCCGCCGAAGGGCAACGGCGGAGAGCCTAGACCGGTGGTGGTGATGATATGAAGCCCTCAAGTGAAAACATGCGGACGATCCAACTCCCAAGTCCGATGCTCATGATTTTCTCAGCCCTTTCTTTCTTCTCGTGTCTTCCTTTTCTGTACTGTATTCCTTCTCTTCTGCGTCGTCTGTGACTACCGACTGTCTCATAGAGATAGATGAGAAGAGATCGGCTTCGGTGAGTGCAAAAGCCGTTCGAACAGAATTTACAGCCTTAGAATATCTCTCTACTTTATATGCTTTATTTCGTGGGAGATATTCCAATGCCACGCTAACCTATAAAGCTATATTCGAACGGACCTTGCAGTGCTGTACTTTTTACACCTCTAATAATAAGCGAAGGGGAAGCGGCCCTAGTGGGCTAAATTTAGTTTATGACGTGGGCTTTACTATGGGCCATACCAAATGTTCAAAGCTAGATATAGAAGGAACTAGGAATCTAAGCCCGGAGCAAGCTGGACTGGGCTCTCTGTCCAGCTTTGATCCTTGTGTTCTGTTTGTTCTGTCCCAATCCCCAAAATCCACTGTGTGTGAGGTTGACAGTAGAGCAACGGGCCGACAAGACTACAACTATAAAAGAGAGATGTTTGTTTGTTTGGTTGTTTGTATGACATTGATTAGCGGGTACGCCCAACAAGCAGATGAAGGTGGGTCCCACAAAAATTGTACTAGGGCTTGGTCATATAATTAGGTCCGCGGGCTTGACCTTGGGCCTAACATAGTAAGCTCGACTGTGTTTCGGGCCGGGCTCGGGATTTGTCAAAAAAGCCCGGCCTGACTTCACTCAATATTATATATTTTATAAAATATATAATATGTATTTTATATATTTATATAAAATATATAAATAATATAATATTTATTAAAATATATATTTATAATTTAATATATATATATATATATATTTTATTCTTTTCTTTATAATTTTAATCTTTCTCTCTCTATTTAGTCGCTTCAACATTAATAATAGTAATAGTATAGGCTAAATTTCGGGCCCGGGCACAGGTTCGGGCTTCGGGCTTTTTAAGAGGGCCGGGCTCGGGCCCAAGTTGTAGGCCCGATGGTCGGGCCGGGCTCAGGCTCGGGCCTTAAAAAAATTTGTTAATACACAGTAAAAGCCCGACCCAAGCCCGGCCCATGAATAGGTCTAATCTGTTCAATGAGGACTCCTTAGCGCCACTCACGTGAGCATCCCCATCTCACTCACATGACATAGCTTGATCCCACAAGGCCACACAATCACTCCAACAAATAGCAGCTAAATATAGGAAAGATTGTCATTATAAAAAGAAAGAGGAGAGTCTGCAACTTGGTTAGCTGAGTTAACATCTCCCATAATGCATGCTTAGATGTGCATGTGAGGCATTTGTGGGGGTGCCTCCAATGAGGCGTAGATGTGATTTTTTATTAGAGATTGGATGATTCCTGTAATTTAAAGCCATGTAATGGGCTTTGGGCTTCCCAAGTGTTGGGTTTTAATTTCATTAGAGATTAAATCCAATGGAGTTTGATTGATCAATTACATGAAAAACACACTTACACACGTCTTGAAAAATAAATTTCTCTTACAAAAAATCAGTTTTTAACTTGCCCCACATTAGAAAATTCAAGACTTGTTTTAAGATTTTTAAATAATAGCTTACTCACACTCCTTCAAAATAAAGAGGAGAGTATGGAGGCTTGCTACTGCACAATGTGTGCATGTGCGTGTATGCGGTGCAATGAGGCGCTTTAGAGGCACACTTTGCTCGCACTTGACCATTGTTGTTTCAACGTCCACGATTTGATCGGGTGTGATTAAGAGACACTATTCAAAGTTAACAGTAATTAACTATTAAATACATTTTAACAGTCACAATTTCAAGGAGCCTTTTTTTGAACCAACACTTTCCTCTGCTCCATAACTCTTCTTAGATTATTTAAGGAGTGTGAATCAAGAATTTTACACACACAATTTCAAAAATCATTTTGTCTCTCTCAGTCCAGTCTGTTACTATCTCACAAAATGTTTCTTCGGAAATTCTTCAACTTTGCTAGTGGTAGATTCTCGCCCAATGCTTTGTTGTATCCTGAAAACAGATTTGCCTATAACCCAATAGCAAACTCAGTAGAACTGAGTGGGGGCAAATAACGTTTTAAAGACAATATCTTTAGACACACCTCAGAACTTCTCCTCCAAATTTTAATAACCCCAATTCCCAACACTAAGCTGACCATTCTTCCACAAAATTGATGGAAGTATCACCAATGAAATATGCTTTGAACTCCACTACTGAGGCACTTTTCAATTCTCTCTAACTGGATCAAGTAGGGATTTTCCTTCCATGAACCCATGAGGAGGCAGGGATACAAATCAAATTGTCAATCTAAGCCAGAAGTTAGATAAGTGATCCATTGGATTGACAATATATTCATCCCAAAATCGTTAGGCTCAATTTGGGAAGAGCAAACCTACAAGTATTTAGAGAATAAATTCAAGGTTTTACATCTATATTTGTACTCTTTCCAAACTGATCCTACAAAGTTCAAAATATCACCCACGGAGTAAATGAATAATTTTTTTTTTTTGCTTAAAAAAGCAAAAGAAAAAAGTGAAAGTAGCATAAGTTTGAAAGGATATATAAACGGATTAAAATATTTTCAACTTAAAGGAAATAGAAATCTTTTTTGTTATTGTTTGGATTCCATTAATAGTACAATAGTTATAATATTATAGTTTCTAAAGCAAAATAGTGTAGTTTGAATTTTTGATAAGATGGAGATAGAGGATATTTTAAATAATAGTATTATATAAGTTTTCGTGGTAAAATTATGCAAATAACTCTAAACAAAATGGTTCATGCAGACTGATTATATCTATGATGATTGCATTGATTGAATAACAAGTTGTGTGCATTTTGAATGTGATGTATCACAAAAATTTTTCTTCAAGTGGAAATAATAGTATTACATTTTAGTAGTTATATGATATTATGATGTTATATTTACCTTGAAGCACGACCTCTCTATTATGTTTTTTTTTTATTTTTTTATTATTTTAGATTCCTTCTATTGTTTTAACAAGTTTATTTTGCATGTATTAGTCCATTGTTTTGTAAAGCATATTTTGTATTAAATATTAACTAGTGTAATTATTTAGATCTAATTAATGTATATATGCTTCTTTCATAATTTGTGCTTAAGGTACTTGGCTCCTCCCCTACCTCTAACCCTCTAACATCTTTGTCCTTGCCCACTAAAATCCAAAACCTAAAAAGTCCAAAAGGCAAAAGCTATCCTAAAAAATTAAAAAATAGTTCATATAGAACTAACAAAAAATTAAAAAATTAAAAAAAAAAACATGATAGATCAACCCTTTGAAGTCTTAATCAAGTGAGACAAAGTATTTTGCTTTTCTATTATTAAAATTTGAAAAAGCGATCAATTGACCCTCTAAAATTTCAATCCATCAATAATTTTCTGTTATACATTTGAAAGTGGGACCCATATTATTGATGTTTTATCAATTAATTTATTTGAACATTTAAAATATTTTAATTAAAGTGGCTAGTCTTTGATTCAATTACCCAATTAAACTAATCAAAGATTAAAAGAAAATTTTAAATAGTTAATTTTTATTGAATAAAAAACTAACAATTCCATATGGTTTTTTCAACTTAATGAGATGTCCATATAGTGACTCTCTCTTCATGGAATGTCCTTTATATTTAAATTTGTATATTGTACTTACATCAAT